TTCTACTTTAACAAATAAGAGTTTCCTTCCCATATGATCCCCTTCCCTGCTTCTCCTGGTAACATCTTCCTTATATGATCAGATCATAGTTTTGGGTTAGATAAATATTCACAGTTTATTTTGTGACAATGTAAATGTTATTGATAGCCCAGCCACGGAGAGTACTATGGTTGCATTTACTTTCTTGTACATGTTTCTGTTGCTCCTGGAGTTATTCATCGTCCTGGTTTTTGCTTGCTTGGTTTCAGGGTGTCCATCCCGATTAACCCCAAACTCTCTACCAGGAGATGCGATCATCACACAACCCTCAGCTTCCTCTTTTTCTCAGAGATATACACCAGCAGTCTCCTTTAGCACTTTTACAAAGTTGTGCTGCGTGGGATTAAAAAAGAATTTTAAGGGTGCTTGGGTGGCTTAGTGCATTGAGTGTCTAACTCTTGATTTCAACTCAGGTATGGCCCCAGGGTCATGGGATCGAGCCCTGCATTGGGTTCATAGCAGAACGTGGAGACTGTTTGGTATTTTCTCTCTCTCCCTCTGACCCTCACCTGCTCTCTCTTTCTCTCTCTCTCTCTCTCTAAAATAAAAACAAAATAATTTTAAGATACTTCAAATTAAGGAAAAGATGCAACAATGATGCCAAGAACTCCAAACGCCCACCCACGTTTCACCAGTTGCCCCATGATATGACTTATAGAAAGTGAACCAACCCAGCGTCCTTTCCTCCATCCTGCCTTGGGTTTCACACTCTTGATGTTTTAAAGATAACAGGGTGGTCATTTTGCAGAACGTTGCTCGGTTTGGGTTTGTGTTTCCTGGTAATTATGCCAGGATTGTGCATTTCAGGGCAGGGCTCCACAGGAGAGACACTGTGCTATCTCACTGCCCCGTCAGGTGCCACTCAATGTCACCTTGTTCCCACTGGTGGTATTAACTTCAATCAATTCACCATCTGACCCGGTTTCTCCATTGCCGAGGGCTTGTGTTATTTTTGTATGAACAAGCTTCTGGGTGGGGATACTTTAGCACTATGTAAACATAGCACTCCTGGGTCGCCTGGGTGGCTCAGTCGGTTGAGCACCTGACTGCGGCTCAGGTCATGATCTTGTGGTTCGTGAGTCTGAGCCCCACGTCAGGCTCTGTGCTGACAGATCAGAGCCTGAAGCCCGCTTCAGATTTTGTCTCCCTCTCTCTCTGTCCCTCCCCTGCTCACACTTTGTCTGTCTGTCTCTCTCTCTCAAAAATAAATTTGAAACATTTTAAAAATTGAAAAAAGAACCCCACTCCTTATTTCACTTAGGCCCCTAGGTTTAGCTTTCCTTGTGGTCACTTACTTGAAATCATCATCACGATCATAGCTGCCAAGAGGTGATTTTTCTTCTTCCTTTATTGTTTGGTTATTTTCTTGTAAGGAAAAGCCTTCTCTTCTGCACATTTGTTCACTTGTTTGTTCACAGCCGTGTGGATTCGTGGATTCCTATTTTGTTTGATGGGCTATGCTCTATTGCTCATTTGTTTTGATATTTGAATTATATGAGGTTTGGTCCCAGCTGGTTCTTGTGCCCTTTCAACCTGTCCCTTTGATCTCCGGGCACTCCTTCACTTTCTGACACCAGGCGCATCTTGTACTACTCTGGCCCCGCCTCAGAGCCAGCCATTCCTCCAAAGAGCTTGATTTCTGTCTAGGGGGAGGACGGTATTTGGAAAACAAGCTCTTGGTGCTCAGTGTGCTTGTTACTGGAATGTTGCTTCTCCCAGACCTTTTTGGTGAACAAGCTGGAGAAAAACACATGCACACACATGTGGGCATACACACACACACACACACACACACACACACATATGCATACGCATGCACACACGTGTGCAGCCCACACCTGCACATATACACACACACACACACATATGCACACACACACACACACACAAACACACACTTTAAAGGACACATTCTTGCTAACAGCTCCAATTCCAATCCAACACCACAGGGTTCTTCAGTGTCCTCCTTTCCACATTCACGCCTCCCTTGTCAGCGAGAAACCTGCCTCCTTTAACCTGCGGTGGTTGATTCATCTGCTCCATCCCCTGTCTATACCCGTCCTCTGACCCTCCAGGCTGTGGTCCCACCCGATTTTAACTCTGGCCTCACCAGGGCCACCAGCACCTGCCCGGTGACTTTCAATGGGATATGCTGAGAAAGGAAGGCAGGCAGGAGGAAGAAAGAAAGAGAAAAATAGGCCGACAGGCATGGGATGGTTTTTATAGCTTTAGCAGATTGCAGGGATTTATAGGAATGTTCACATTGTCTCTACCCCACCTCCCCGATGGAAAGAACTAGAACAAAGACTCAGGGGAGAATGGGCCGCACCCCAGGCTGCGCGGCAAATCCCAGAGATGGAGGGATCTGAGGGCCCCAGACCCTGGCTTCTGGTGGCCCTTTGAAGGCCTTGCCAATTCATCTCCTGCACATTGTTAAAGAAACAAATTTTAAGTCAGGCTAAGTGTGGCTAGCCCCAAGAATTGGTGATATGGCAAACCAATTCTCTGCTGAATTAACTCAGTCTAGGTGGGGGGTTGGGGGGCGAAAGGTGGTCGCTCCTCACGCACTCTCGGGTCCCCCCCCCCTTTCATCCAGAGTGCTTCTGTTCATCTGTGTTTAAACTATGGGGCCTCACTATGATCTTCTTAGGTTTAGAAAGAAGATTGAGCCTGGATGCAAGCTCCACTGGGCCTCCAGCTTGCTGTGTGACCCTGGGCAGGCTCCCTGCCTTCCCTGGGCCTCAGCTTCCCCTTTGGGAAAGGAGAGGTTGGGTTATAAGTTTTGTGCATCTCTGCCTTGGCGTGTGGCACACACAGCTGGGGACCAGTGGAGTCCTCTTTGGCCATCCGTTCCCAGGGCAAAGGAGCCACCTTTCTTCCCATCCTCCTCCCCCCCCCTCCCCTCCCAGGAATAGGGTGGCTGGCTGGGCCTGGGCTTGTGGCCAAGGGGAAGCGCAGACAATAAGCCAGAGTCACCCTGACTGCCTGGGGCAGGTTGTGCAACTTCCGCCAGCAAATAAGACTTTGGCCCCAGGACTTTGAGCTCTGGGCAGCCCGCTCCCCTCCCCCAGGCCACCCAGCTTAGGGGACAAGGCTGGGGGAGTGGCCAGGGTGCTTTCGGAGTCCCAGGGGCAACCAGACGGCTCTGGGTTCATGAAGAGGGTCTCAGCAAGAGGGGTCGGCCCACATGCTGTGGGAGCCGGAGGAGGAAGCCGGCCAAGGGGAGGCTCTGTGTGAGGGTGTGTGTGTGCATGTGTGTGTGGGCAGCAGCTCCTGTGGGCTGGGGGGAGGCCTTGCATGTGACGCGGTGATCCCCATGGTCACAGTCGTCAGGGGAGTTATACTAGAATGGTGGGCCCGACTGGGTGCACGGGAGTAAACGCACCAGTCTGCATGTGTTTGAGGGCGCCTTGGTGAGCCGATGTACGCACGTGTTAGCTGTGGTGTGCGTGCACGTTGTGGGACATATGCTGCAGATTACATACATGTGAGATGACGCACACCGTCGTGATCCCACGGGGCCACGTGAGGGCTGCGTGGCTCTGAGTGTGTACTGATGAGTGCGCATGTGAGCGTGGATCCATGTATGTGTGCACGTGTGGGTGGTCGTGTCTGCCCGTTAGGGGTACACATGTGTGCGTGTGCTTATGCATGTGTTAAGTGCCCGGTTGCTGAGCCCATGGTCTCTGGGGGGGGGGGGGGTGATGGTTTGTAGACATGTGTGGCCTCTGGGGCACGTGTGTGCGTAGGAAGTCTGGACGATCATGCGAGTGCTCGCGTAGGACACATGTCCCCGGGGTCTTGGTCCAGCTCCTCACCTGCTTCACCCCACCCCCTCCCACCAACCTGCCAAGGATGCTGTGTGCTTCCAGTACGTCTGCATTCCGACCCCCAATTTCCCTACCTGTACCACGGAGGGCGAGGTTGGACTAGAGCTATCAGGCTCCTCCTTACTTTGAGGGGGTTTGTGTAATCACCCCAAGGAACACGCACAACATGAGGGCGTCGAGAGCCCAGGAATCCTGGGATTTACCTTGGCCCCTGGGTGAGGGGAAGGAGGCCTCAAAGGAATAGGTGAGGCCAAGGGCCAGGAGCCTGGGATGGGGCACTCCCAGAAAGAGCCTGAGGGGACCTGCTGGAGCTACGATTCTGACCAGGCCCTGCTGTGGCCTAGAGGCAGGGGACTGCCTGGAGTGACCTCTACCCCGGACTCTGGAAAGGAAGAAGGGAGTAGGGGGATCACGGCCAGGGGACCTCTGTGAGCAGCCCCCAATAGGAGCCTCAGGGGGCACTGGTTGGGAGGCAGGACTACACCCCTCCACTCACTCAAAAGAGTCTGGCCTGGCTTCTTTGCTCCTTGAGGAGCGGGGCCCTGGGTGGCTGTCCTTTCACGGAGAAAGCCTTCATTCCCCTCAGAGCTTTGGCCCGAGTTTTAAAATTCAAGGCTTTGGCCTGAGTCCCAGGGAGGATCCTGAAGCTGGAGGAAAAGTTACACTTGCTGATACACAGGTCTGTCCAGGCTCTCTGCAGGGGTGGCAGGATGGGGTGCTCTTTGCCTCCTTCACTGTTTTCTTTTCTACCCCGGCTCCCAGCCAGTCCTCCCAGCCTTCGTGCAGACGAGCCTTTGTGCAGGGCAACAAAGAGGAAGCATCGCAGCATCCTGGCACACTCCGTCTGTCACACAAAGGGCAGGGGTACCACTAGAGAGTTCTGTTTGCTGGGAGCAGGTTCACTGCAAAGAGCTCAAGGGAGCTAGAGTCCTGTCCAGTCCTGGTGTGGCACGCCTGCCGGGCTCGGACCCTGACCCCAACCACCCAGGACAGGGACCCTGGGCTTGGACAAGAGGGAGGAGATTCCATGGGAAGGAAAGTCCTAGAGGTCTTCTGCAAAAGTCAGGTCCAGTGGGAGACAAAAAAAAAAAAAAACAAAACAGAAACCACTCTAGGTATTTTGAACAGGGGAAATTTAATACGGGGGATTGATTCCACAGGCGAGGAAAGAGCTGAAAAGTCCTACAGCAAATGGGAAGGCAGTCTAGCTAGGGCATGAGCTACTACCACTCCAGGCTGGAGCAGCACAGGGAGGAGATGATGATTCCGCCCAGGGGTGGCTGAATCATGGCGGGGATCGCCATGGGGCTGAGCCACAGGAGAATGGGTGGTTCTGAGGGAGCTGAAGACAAGGAGGCAGCAGTCAGCGCTGGAACCCTGGCTTCCCCCACCCTCCAGTCCCGTCCCAGCACTTCCCATTGGCCCGGCCTCGCAAGGAGCCTGGGAAAAGCAGGCTGCGGGAGACGGGCAGTCGCGAGCGAGCGCAGACGGACAATGCCCAGTACTTCCCCATGTTGCACTCTGCAGGGGCTGGGAACTCGGGAAAAGCAAAGACATAATTGGCACTGTCCCCGAGACTGGGGATATGACTAAGTTTTGATAAGAGTTCGATGGGCTTCGTGCACGCACACACACGCGCACACACACACACCTGCCCTGGGCCGCATGCCCCCTGAACGTTGGATTCACGCTGTCCCCACCAGAGCCCAATGAACTCAGGACAAGGCCCTCACACCAAAGTCGAGGACACTGAGGCTTTCGGAAGGGAAGTGGCTTCTCTCGGGCGCCACGGCTGGAAAACGGCCGAGCCCGGGCTCACACCCACGTCAGTGTGACTCCAGGGACCCAGGGCCTAGGAGGAAAGTGGTAAGTCTGCCGTCCGGTACTATTGTTGGGAGCAGATGCTGACAGACAACCAGCCTGGGTTGGAGGCACTGGGTAAAAATCTCAGGAGGAGAGAGGCGTTGAACCGGGTGAGACGGGCTGAGGAGAGAGCCACGGATGGCCGATTGGGGAGCATCGCGTGAGTGGCAAAGAGCAGGACTTGGGGACCCAACAGGATGGGTCAGATCTGCCCTGCCACATACCAGTTGTGTGACTGGATCTCTGTGCCTCGGTTTCCTCATCGGCAAAATGGGCATAATAGTGATAGTCCCTGCTCCACAGGGCTGTGTGAGAACTGAAAGTTGGAGAAGTGTTTGCTCCTATTATGTGTTATTCTTATTTCTGTTTTATAGGTGAGGAAATTGAGGCTCTGAGAGGTAAATCAGATGGCACCACTAGGAAGTAGAATATGACTCAAGTCTGTGCTGAGTCTGTGTCACCCTCTCCCACCCCTTCCTTCCCTGCCTGGTCCCCCAGACTGCTTGCTCACCCTGTGAGCACAACCCATCCCCGCCGTGATGTGAAGTGCCCTTCTCCTCGTGTCTCCCTCTGATCAGTCACCTCCTCCCGTTGGCCTCCAGGCTTGGAGGTGCCACCAGCTTCCCGCTGTCGCTCATCTGTGGGTAGCAGCACTATCCCCCCACTGGGTTTCTTCTAACCTTCTTGCCAGTCCCTGTATTGGCTTCCTTCTGTTAGAAACCTAGTGTTTCAAGAGCGCCGGGATGGTTCAGTCGGTTAAGCGTCTGACTTCGGCTCAGGTCATGATCTCACAGGTCGTGAGTTCGAGTCCTGCTTCAGGCTCTGTGCTGACAGCTCAGAGCCTGGAGCCTGCTTCGGATTCTGTGTCTCCCTCTCTCCCTGCTCCTCCCCTGCTCACGCTCTGTCTCTCAAAAGTAAGTAAATGTTGAAAATAATTTAGAAACCGAGTGTTTTGGTTTTCCTGCAGAGACCCTGCCTGGTACAGTAGTCGCTGTTTGTTGCGGTTTCCTTGGACCAGGGACGCTTCTAGGTGCCTTTCAGAGGCTAATGTCCAGGTTAGGGACCCTCACCACTTGACGGAAGAGGAAGCAGGGCAAAGGAGAGAGGAAGCCGTGTGCCTGCGGTCACGAAGCTAGTGAGAGGCAGGACTGGGGCCCTGAGGCAGGAGGTTGAGATCCAGAGCCCACGGCCTGCCCACCTCCCCGCCTGCCAGTGGCCACCCTAACTGCTAGGTGACTGCCTAGGTCACCTCTGTGACCTCCTGTCTGGCTGCTCTGCCCCACGCCAGCCCTCAGAGACACGACTGTGGATAGTATCTCTGCACGTCCTCTCCCGCTAAAGACCACCAGGGTCTGCAGGTGATTTCACGTCCTTCACGTTCGGTGGCCTCCTAGCTCTCCCTCCTTGTGGTGGCACCCTTTCCTGCCAGGCTCTTCTCCCCGCCCCGTGCCACACCCGGCAGGCCCCTCCAGGCCAGGACCCTCGATGACTCACCCACGCAGGGCTTTCACTTCCTCCTCGGATGAGGCTCTTGACCTGCTGCAGCTGCAGAAAGGAGGTGCCTCCTTGGAGGCTTGAAGGCCAGGAGGACGAGTCATGGGCCCTGTTGAGAGCTCAGGGCCCAGGCCCGAGGGGCTGGAGGGCTGTCTCTGCAGAGGGCAAGGTGGCAGGAGGGCTCCTGGGGCTCCCTGTCTGGTGCCAGGCTGGGCGAACTGTCTCCAAATGACCAGTCTTCTACACAGGCTGGCACACAGGGAGATTGTTCTAAGAACGTTTAAGCTGGAATTATGCCTCTCATCGTTACTGATGGCATTCAGTATACCCATAAGCAGAAAGCCCAGTACCGTAGGGAAGCCTTGGAAATACTTCTGGGATCTCTTCACACAGTTTACCAAAAATGTTTACACAGAAATACTTCCTCATTACAACCTGGCTTCCTCTCTCCCTTTAAAGCACTCTCTAACTCCCAGCTGCTCCAAGGAGTGGGGAAGGGCAAGGCTGAAAAGTAAGCCTCCTCGGTGCAGGTGCGTCCTACAACTTCCGGGGCCCCCATTCCTATCCTGGTTAAATGACCCTGCTGTGGAGTCAGACCTCCATTACACTCCTGGTCATTTTCTGACCGTGTGACCTTAAGGAAGATGGTCATCTTCTCTGAGCCTTGGTTTACTCATCTGTAAAATGCAGCTATTGATAACAACTACAGCATCGTGTTTCTGTAAGAATTCGATGAGCTCAGCCAGGCAGAGCACCCGGCACATTGTCAACATTGAAACGCTCGGTAAATGCCAGCTGTCACAACAAATACTCCTGTTTACAATGAGGGTCTACGGGCGCCCGATCCCGTCTGTGCTCGCGTGTTTGGGCCTATGTCTGTCTACGGGGTGGTCAGGGAAGGCTTCCCAGAAGAGGTGACACTGGCCTTGTGTCTTACAGGAGAAAGTGGGGGAAAGGGTAAGGCCAGATGCCGTTAGAGTGTGGGGAGTGCGTTGGGGCAGGAGAAGGGACCAGGCCAAGAGTGGCCTGGAGGGAAGGCCTGAGCTCCTGGGGCCTCCACGCTGCAGCCTGGCTGGAACCGACTGTTGGATCTGGGTGGGTGGGGGCTGCCCCAGCTCGGTCTCTGAAATGCTGGCGGCTCTCACCCTTCTGCCCCCTCCCGTTTCTGGGCCTCCACTTCCTTCCCCTGCACAGACCACAGAGGCGTTTCAGAGGAAGCTGCTACTTATTTTAGCAGTGATCCCTGGACACCCCCACCCGCAGCTGCCCCTGCCCCTCTGGGCCCCTGAAGAGGCACCAGGCTATTCTTCTGAGTCACAGCCCAAAGCACTTATGGGTGAGGGTCAGGTCCCACCCCTTCCCCGCTGCAAACTGGGCACTGGAAGACATGGGTTCAAGCCCCGCTCTGACGCTAACTTACTGGACGATGTCCCGGTCCCTTTATCTTCCAAGCCCCAGGTCCCCATCGGGGCTCTGGGACCTGCGACGGGGCGGGCACTGACTTCTGGGCAGAAAGGGGGTGGGGCTGGATATGCCCTGGAAGAAGCAGAGAGAGGGTCTCAGGCAGATCAGGTTTGGGGAGCCAGAGCTTATATTTTGGGGGTCTGTCTTTAAGAAAAACAGAATCACAGGGGCGCCTGGGTGGCTCAGTTAAGTGTCCGACCTCGGCTCAGGTCATGATCTCACGGCTCGTGGGTTCAAGCCCCGCCGTTGGGGTCTGTGCTGACAGCTCAGAGCCTGGAGCTTACTTTGGATTCTGTGCGTGTGTGTGTCTCTCTCTCTCTCTCTCTCTCTCTCTGCCCTTCTCCGCTCACATTCTCTCTCTCTCTCTTAAATTTACATAAACATCAAAAAAATTAAAAAAGAAAGAAAAACAGAATCACAAACACAGATTTGCTTATGAAAGTGAATTTCTATTTAGTGAGGAGAAGCCCCGAAGTTTGTTGTTTTTTTTTTTTCAGCGTCCTGCAAATCTGCCTTTGGAAAGGCTCCTCCAAATCCTCAGGAGACAGTGGGGAGGGAAACTGAGGCAGAGAGCGAGGACGTCACAGGCTCTGCACAGCCACACAGCTGGGGAGTGGAAGGCTAGCCTTTGAACCCAGATTTGTCAAAAATCAATACCCACATTTTACCCCCTACCCTCAGCAGCCCCTCGTAGCGCCACTGAGGTGAGGAGGGCATTAGGGAGGAAGGATGAGAGACTGACAGACTGACAGACTGACAGCCAGGGCAGGGCAGTGCTGGAGAGAACACAGGACTGTGGTCAAGCAGACTCTGACCCAAGTCCCAGCTCTGCCCCTTTCTAGCCATGTGACTTTTCTGGAGTCTCTGTGTCCTCACGTGTAAAATGGGGTGACAGAAGAGCAGTTGTGGGTCCTGCACAAGGCAGTTCTATTTCTGTCTTCACCTGGATCTCGTAAGTTCAGCCTGAACCACACTGATAATGCCAATGGCTAAAGCTTGTCTAGCGCTCACCTTGTACCAGGCGTGGCTCCGAATACAGCGACTGAACTTCACAACAGCATGATGAGGTAGGTGCCGTGATCACTCCCATGTTCCAGATGAGGAAACTGAGGCCCTGAATCCATACCAGGCTCTGGGCTGGGCGCCAGGCATGCAGTTGTGACACGGGGATGGTCTTTGTTCCTCAGGACCCCAGAACTCCAGAAGGATGCTGGTAAGTGTAACATTTGGGATCTAAGGGAAGTCTCGGGGGAGCAGAAGGGAAGGAGACGTTCCTTGGGACCAGAGGCTTCGTGCAGGACCTGGCATTTGAGCAGAGCCCTATGGATTCCTAAAGGAGTTTTCCACATTGATCATAGTGGGGGGGCATTGCGGGCAGAGGGAACAGCACACGCAAAGTCAAGAGGCAGAAGGATGTTGGTGGGGAGGGGACAGGAAGCAGGAGCTTGTGGATCTGGGGGGAGTTTGTGGGCCAGGAGCAGTGCGGAGGAGGCTGAAGAATTAGCTCCCTGGTTTCTGGTTTTCTTCTTGGGTTCCAGCCCCCGAGCGGCAGCTTCAGTCCCGCGGGACAAGTGTCTGCGAGGGGCAGCCCTGTGTGTGTGCAGGGCAAGTGTAGGACATAGAGTCTCAGTCGGGGGGCAGTCCCTGACATCAGTCTTTGGGTTGGGAAAGCCCGTGGCAATGACCCTTTGCTGCCTTCCCTCCTGTTCTTCTAGCTTTGACAATTCAGAAGCCTTCGCCGGTGAAATGAAGCAGGAGAAGATGTGGTCCTTAGGGTCACCCCACTGACCAGCTCCTCTCTCCCCAGCTCACTGACCCCTTGTCCACCCTCATGTCCAGCCATGAGTCCACACGTGCAATGTTTACCCGGAGCGGATGCTGTTCGTGCATTGCCCCTATTCCCTCGTTCTGAGGTCCCCTGCTCCGTAATGAGCACTGCAAAGGGGGATACCCCCTATCCCGTCCCCAGCCGTCATGTCTCCACTTCCCTGCCTGGAACTTTCTCTGGCACCGCAGGAGCCAACTTCCCACAGGGTACCCAGAAACGCCAGGGCCGGAATGTCCACGGGGGCAGCCTTGACCCAGTGATGGATGGTGGCCAGCGACCAAACACTCCAGCCTACCGGTCACTGGGTAGGACGGCTCTAGGCACACTGCTCACAGTCGCTCAGTGGACCCCCAGGGGGGCCGAGCTCCAGGTGCCCACTGGGTAGCCTGCTCCCTTTTCCCCCTTATTGGCTTTTCCCTCTTCCCCGTCACACTTTCCCACTCACCCCTCCTTCCCTAGATTAGCGCCTCCCGGAGAAGCCACGTGCTCCCATCGTCTGCCCCATGTCCCCCCACCCCGCTCACCTGCTCTCGCGCTTGTCCAGACAGCAAATGTGCACGGTACCCACTCTGCCGGACCCTCGTGAGATAAGGGAGGCACAGCCCTGCCCTCGAGAGCCCGCTAACTTGTGTAGATGGACACGGGCTCCTGGGGGCCACGACCTGTCCGCCAGGTGGGCTGGGACAAGAGGAGGGTAAGTGCTGAGCTAAGCCACTTCCTCATCCAGTCATGGGTCCCCACCCTTGGCTCTCTCCTGTGTGTAACTTTCCAAGGAAGCTTCCGGCAGCCTGGGCTGTGCGCGGCAGGCAGGCAGGAAGAACAATAGTTAACATTTGTGCTCGCCGCACTCGAGCTGCTCCACACATATTAAGCCCATTCATCTTCCCATCCGCCCTGGGACGGATACTCTTAATCTGAACTCCATTTTGCAGATGGGGAAAGTGAGGGACCAAGAGGCTCCCCCAAAGTGGTACAGGTAAGAAGTAGAGATTTTGGTCCAGGCAGCATGACCTCGAGAGCCTGTGGTTCGGCTTCTGTGCTCTACTCTTTGCGGAAGGAGGGAAGGCAGGACGGGTGCCGGTTTGATGCAGAAGGGAGGATTCAAATGCACGTGAGGGCCTGGGCAGAGAAGGCAGGTCAGCACCCCCCAAAAATGCCTGGGACCCCCCCCCCACTTCCACACCAGTGTGCTTTAGCATGAATGCCACGTACACGCAAAGACAAGTCTACACAAAAGTGTGTGTTTCGCTAAATGCTGCCGTAGCCACCGAAGTGTGTAAATACGTGCACGCCCTCCGCACCCAGAGGCTTGTTCACACACGCGTGCATGCATCTTGGCATCCAGAGGCCACCACACACACACACACACACACACACACACACACGTTTGCGCGTGTGCACAGACATCGGCACGCGTGCACATCCACACACATCGGCACACGCGAATACAAATTAGCGGTCGCTTCGAATTCTTTGCTTAAAGAAAACTTGTGACTGTATTAAAAATGTAGGACACATTGGCCAAATAATTAAAGCGAGGAGCGAGGCAGTGGGACTTCTCACCACTCTCTCGGGGCCGCCTGCGCTGGGCTGTGCTCAGCGTGGCTCCGTCCTATATATTTGAGGAAGAGGCACTTTATTACAGTAATTTATCACCCCCATAAATGTGGCTCCTCTGTAACGCGGAATAATTTGGGAAGAAATATGTGTTAAAAATTAAAAATGCAGTCGGCATGCGCCCCGGCGGGTCTGCAGGGAGACATCGCTGCACCTCCGGTAACCGCCCGTGTAGCTCTAATACCTACAACTTCCATTATTTAAAGTGTGATTATATTTTTCCTGCTTGGAGCTTTGTCAGCTATAAATAAAAGATAAGGGTGAATTGTTGCGGGGCCTAGTAAGCACTTCCATTATTGGTACTTAAGGGGGCTTGGGGATGGAGGGAACGGGCAGGGGTGGGGAGGGATGGGAGGCCACCCGGGGGGTACCGCCTGGGTCTGGAAGGCGAGTTGTGGGCATGCGTGGGCCCAGTCCTTTCTCTGGTTGAGTTTTCCACCGGGTCCAGAGCGACGTGACCCCACGAACCTGGGTTCTGTTGTCCACCGCGGACCACGGTGAAAGCCATCCACAGAGGTTGCCGCCTGCTGTGGCTCCCCACGTGCCGACCCGCTCCTGTTCTCCCCAGGGACCCCACGCCCATGGGACACCCAGGGGAGAAGGATGTCACCCATTTGAAGGGAAAGGGATTTATCCACTTGAACGTGTTCGTTTTTTCGCAACCAAGAGTTGTTGCTTTGAGGTGAGTCCAGACCGTGGCTGTGGGACAAAAAGGATTCACGAGAGGGTGTACGTGTGGGGGATGCCTTTATTAGCCAAAGCAGGTCCTTGGCCTCTGAGCCAGAGAGCTGGTCCAATTAAACAGAGAGTAACACGCCTCTAACAACAATCAGATGGGAAAACAAATGTGTTTGTTTTGTCACAAGGAGAAAAGGAGCAAAACAAAGCTAAATGAAAAAGAAAAAACTGGAAATCATCTCCTTGTCCCGTTTCCCCAAGTCTTGCACGTTTCTCTAAAGCTTTCTCACTTCCCTGAGCCTCTGTTTGCTCGTCTGGAAATTGGGGATGACAGCACCCATCTATCTCCAGGGTTATGGTGGCAATTAAATAAGGTAACATCTGTACAGCATTGGGACCGGCTGTCGCCATACCCCAGTTAGAGCTCCAGCCGTCACACTCTTTGGTATTTACCAAAACGATTTGAAAACTTCGGTCCACACAAAACTTTATAGCAGCTTTATTCATGACGGCCCAAACCTGGAAGCAACCAAGATATCCTTCAGTAAGGGAAACGGGTAATCAAACTGTCGCCTAACCAGACAGCAGACTATTACTCGCAGATTAAAGGAAATGAGCTACAGGAATGGGACATTATTGTCTTATGGGTATGGAGTTTCATCTTGGGAAAGTGAAAACAGTTCTGGAGGCACTGGGGAGGCTTGCACAACACTGTGACTGTGCTTACGGCCACTGACCCGTACACTTAAAAAGAGTTCAAATGAAAACGTTTAATGCTACATATATATTTTTAAAAAATTTTAGCATTTATTTATTTTTGAGACAGAGAGAGAGAGAGACAGAGCGTGAGTGGGGGAGGGGCAGAGAGAGAGGCAGACACAGAATCAGAAGCAGGCTCCAGGCTCCGAGCTGTCAGCACAGAGCCCGACGCCCGACGGACCACGAGATCGTGACCTGAGCCGAAGTTGGACACTCAACTGACTGAGCCACCTAGGCGCCCGTTATGTTATTTATATTTTACCACACACACAAAAAAAAAAAAAAAAAAGAAAAGAAAAGAAAAAAGAAATGGGCTGTCAGGCTATGAAAAGACCTGGAGGAATCTTAAATGTATGTTGCTAAATGGAAGAAGCCAGTCTGCAAAGGCTACATGCTATATGATTTCGGCTGTAGGACATTCTGGAAAAGGCAAAATGGCGGAGACAGTTTGGGATGGGGAGGAGAGGGAGGGTTGAAGAGCCTAAGTTCAGACGATTTGGGGGCAGTGTCACGGTACTGCATGATTCTGTAGTGAGAGATGCACGTCATTACACATTTGCCAAAACCTGTAGGGTGCACAACACAAGGGGTGAGCCCCTACATAAACTACAGACTTCAGTTGATAATAATAATGCATTGATACTGGCTCATCAGTGGTGGCAAATGTACCACAGTGAGGTTAATATCAGGGGAAGTGGATGGGGGGATTATAGGAGAACTCTGTGTACTTCCTGCTCCGTCTTAAACCCCAAATGGCTCTGAAAATCGAAATCTAAATATTTAAAATTCAAATGAAAAATAGGGGCGCCCAGATGGCTCAGTCGCTTAGGTCTCCAACTCTTGATGTTGGCTCAGGTTATGATCTCGAAGACGTGAGATGGAGCCCCGTGTCCAGTTCCATGTCGGGCGCTTGGGATTCTCTCTCTCTCTCTCTCTCTCTCTCTTTCTACCCCTCCCCCACTCCTGCTTGCGTTCTCTCTCTCTCAAAATAAATAAATTAACTTAAAAGAATAAAATTCAAATAAAAAATAAAAACTTAGGATTAAGGGGCACCTGGGTGGCTCAGTTGTTTGAACGTCAGACTTCAACTCGGGTCACGGTCTCACAATTTGTGAGTTTGAGCCCCACATCGGGCTGAATGCTGTCAGCTCGGAGCCTGGAGCCTGCTTCGGATTCTGTGTCTCCCTCTCTCTCTGCTCCTCCCCTGCTCCCACTCGTGCTCTCTTTCTCTCAAAAATAAAATAGAACCTTAAAGCAAACAAGCAACAACAACAAAAAACCCTGAACACTTAAGATTAAACTTAAAGCTCTAAAAATTAATTTTAGTAATTGGACAGAAGTCATTTTCTCAGTTCTCAACACCATGGAAAGCAGCCTGGAAGCCATCTTAGCAATCATTCCGCCCGGTGACTTCCAAACGCTTTGTTTCTTTTTCCATCCCAACATTTACAGGGCCCCCCAATACACTTACAAAGCCTACCGTGACCAGAGCACGTTGGATGGGAGCAGCAAACAGGTTTGGACTGGCTCAAGCCACATCCTGCCTGCTGGGACTCCCTGACAGTAACTGTCCACAAGCCCTCGAGTTGGCCTGCGTCAGCCAGGCCAGATCAGGGGAATTCGTCTGAGCTCCACAAACGGAAGCAGCTGATTCAGACCCTTTGGAGCTGGTCCTGGCTGGTTGCATTTGTCCTAAACCAGCTCAAACCACTTGCAATTGGCTGAAATTAGCCCCCAACCTAGAGCCAAGGGGTATGCCCCCAAAAGGAGCCCCAAAGGGAAGAGAAGCTGAGATTCCACTTGGGGTGATCAAACAGGAGTCTGGGCGCAGGTCAGGCTGGATCAGACCTGTCGGGACTGATGAGCCCATTGCTGCTGAGGCCGGAGGGAGAGGCTCTGGTGGACACAGCGTTCCTCGC